CATTATATTATATATGCCAGCAGTGATTCCTGGATCATGTTGAGTTCTTGGTTAGCCTTTTTTTGTTCCTACATCCATATTGGATGATATTGGTTCTGATAACGAGAAAATCAAATCTCTTGTTATCTGGGAAACTACCACTTTGTTACCTTTCCAGTTTTTATAACAGAGACTAACCATGCTTTTAGTTTCTATTTAAATGTATGTATGTCCACCCTTATTTGGTGTTGCTTACTTTGGTAGTACCCAGTGAAATTTTTTTGGTTTTCTCTGTCGGGTAAACCGATTTTCATATTCAATACTATCACATGTAGCAAGGAGAAAACTGGTGTTGATCGGTTTTCACTTAGACAAGCTTTGATATTCATATGTGCTACCAATAGGCCAGATGAATTGGACCTTGAGTTTGTCTGCCCTGGTCGTATTGACCGTCTATACATTGGTTTGCCTGATGCTAAACAACGGGTGCAAATGTCTGGTGTGCACAGTGCAGGAAAACTTGCAGAAGATGTTTAACTTTGAACAGGTAAGTGGTTGCTTATACATATATACATAAATAATTAAATACATCTTTTGTTGCATAGCTGCACATAGCACAATCATGCAATGCATATGGTTGAGTTTTAAGTGTTGTGAATATACATATATATATATATATATAGTTTTGAGTTTTTTCTTATTAAGGCCTTGTTAAACAAAGTATGATATCATCACCTTCACCATTGGCATCGTCATTGTTACATTGATGCAATGATATACATTTATCTCCTACAGCTGTTTTTACTCTGAATTATATAGTTTTTCTTAGTTTTGGGCTTATTGATGTCTTCTTTTTCTTCACTCTACAGCTTGTCTTCCGTACTGTTGGTTTTTCTGGGGCAGATATAATCTTGTGAATGAAGCAGCAATTATGTCAGTAAGTTCACATTCTTGTCCAATATAATTGATCGCTTGTGCTTTCTGTCCCAAATCACCTATTACTCTGGTCAAATCTCTTGGTTACTTTCATGTCCTTTATTTTTCAATGCATTGGGATAACCAAACTTTTTTATTTCAGAAATTGCCTCCCTTTCAACTGATCCCCTTATTTATTCACAGCTATGAGATGGTGCTTCTCAATAATCTGTGCATGGGTAGACACATCTTTTTATGCATGTGTCACTTGTGTATGCTTAAGCTCTCATTTGTGTTATATGGCCTCAAATTTTATAGCTTTAATTTGGTAACATTTAATTATCTCAATGTAGTCCGGCTGGTGTCTTGCCTGCCCTAAGAGATAGGATTTGTCATCTTTCGTGCTGTAGTTTGTTAGTGTGTTGCTCACGGTTCCAAGTGATACAAATCCGAAGTACTATGTAGTGATCTCTTGTGCATTTAGCAGTGATCATTTGAAGAGTTGTCCAGGTTGGTGGTTGCAGGTGAGGAAGGACATCTAAGATCTACAAGCAAGACATTGTTGATGTGTTAGATAAACAATTGCTTGAGGGTATGGGTGTGTGCTTCTTACCGAGGAAGAACAACAGAAAATCAAACAAAGTGTATGTTCCTGCGTATATTGTTTCTCATTGGTGCTTATTAAATTAAAATTAATTAGTACATTGATCATTGGGTTATTATGTTTATGTAATAGGTGTCTTTAGAAAAGAAGAGACTGCTCGCTGTACATGAAGCGGGTCATATAGTATTAGCGCACTTGTTTCCTCGATTTGATTGGCACCCTTTTTCTCAGCTCCTGCCTGGTGGCAAGGTACACTTAATAGTGACAGAAATTCCTTTTGTTAATTGCCTTAAACTGATGTTGCTTTTTTACCTCAACATGAGCAGGAAACTGCAATATCAGTGTTCTATCCCTTGTGAAGACATGATAGACCAAGGTTATACAACCTTTGGCTACATGAAAATGCAAATGGTGGTAGCTCATGGTGGGCGCTGTGCGGAAAGTGTTGTGTTCGGCGAAGACATAACAGATGAAGGAAAGGATGATACAGAAAAGATAACAAAGGTAACTGCAATATCAGTGTTTTTTCTTGCGAATCCTAAAATCTTTGAAAAGTTTAAGTGTCAAAAGTACCTTAGTATTCTGCACTGAATTACATGATAACTATCAAAATATTTGTCAATGACTTATAAGAGTCATGTTTGAGGCATGGTATAGGAACAAGAATATGTGCAAAATCTCTATTGCTCCTTGGTTTCGAGTTCTTAACCTAAATATAATAATTGATGATCACTCAATAAATAGAGTTCCTCTACACATGAGAAACTTGATAGGAAACAAAATCTTGAGCAAAGTTGAATTGAGACAATACAAACCCTGAGTAAGGGTCTGCTTGGGAGTTTTATGGTACGGTTATGAGGGTAAACCATCGTAGCGGTTTTGAGGGTAAACTAAGAGGTTTTATTCGCGGGTCTGCTTGGGTTTTTACGGTAGCGGTTATGAGGGTAAATCATCGTAGCGGTTTTGAGGGTAAACCACCGTAACGGTTTTGAGGGTTTTTAGTAGTGGTTTTTAAAACACTCAACCTGTGCTTGGAGTTTATTTTCCAACGATTCTGACAGTTTTTTTTAAATGATAAATTACACATATATGTCCATAAGTTAAAAGACTCTCTCTTTTGCTGATTAATTTTGATAAATACAAATAATGCCTACATTATATTATTTTTTTTTTCTTTCTCTCCAATCAAACAAGAGGCTCTTTTCTATAACCTTGTAATAAAACCTGGAACTGTTGAATATGCTGAGCCTGTGGTTGACATGTGGGATTTTGGGTTGGCATGGATCTTTTGACACAGTTGAGTGTATTGGCGTGAAGGGCCTCCCAAGTTAAGCCACATTTGAGCTACATATGCAGTTTCAATCTTGATAAGGGTTACTAGCTGGCTGTTGCAGGTGCTTAGTTTCTTCTTCATTCTTCTCAATCTTTTTCATAGAAAGGCAGCGAAACGGAGATGCAAGCTTTTTTGATGTGATTTTGGAGTGGAGTTGAAGGAATTTGGGCCCTACAGCAAATAAAACCTCTTATTGTAAATAGACCAGATAGAGGCAGGAAAAAATAAGTCATAATTGGTTACAATAAAATAAAGAGCAGAACAAGAAAAGGTCCACCAGCGTTTACAAAGCTGAAGAAAATTGGCGGAGTTCAGGAAACCCGGGTACATAATGTCTTAGCTAGGTTTTCCCTTGACGAAAAATAAGAAAGAGCAAAATATAGCCTCAATAATTCTATAGACTACTTTCTATTCGTCATGTTGTGTTCTTATCTTAGGAAATAACAAGCATCAAAGGCAATGAGTAGTAATGTAGTGATTATTAGTGGGTTTTTTTGGATAAAATATTTGAACCAGCCAAACACCCCAATTTGGGGTGTTTTATAAACCCTTCAAAAATATACTACACTGGTTTTGGGGGGTTTTTAAACCAGTCAAAACCAGCCCATTAAAAATCTGGCAATATAGTTTTTAAACACCTCAAAATCAGTCTAATTAAAACTCCCCAAAACCAGTGAAAAAAAACTCCCAGACCCTTAGTATCTTCTTTGCATTCTGACTTGTTTATCCTAATCACCTACGTGAACTATATTGCACATGTGCGTGTACATACCTATTTGTATACTGTGGGCCAGCCCAATACAATGGTAGGCCCTAAAATGGGCCAGGTCTTCTGAAACGGGCAGGTCTTAGGTTCATTGCAGCCGGTTTTACATCTCCTTGTAAACAAGAATTTCGTCTTCCTCCCTTGACTCATGGCTCTGTGTTCCCAGTTAGTAAATACGGGTACGGCAAAAAAACGTACGGGAATTTTACGGTATAATACGGCAAACAGTAAAAATACGTTTATAAAAATTCGGTCATAAAATTCGGATACGGAAAAAATACGATACGGGTTATTACGGGTTTAATACGGTATATTATCAATAATACGTTTTGAAATACGGCAATATTGATCCTAGTTTTGATACTTTTATGGACTAATTATAATGTATCTCACATTGACTTCAATAAATCTTTTGCTTTTGCTTTTGCCTATGGTAACGTTAATCTTTTCTTTGCCTTAACAAATTCCCAGCCTGTTTTGTTCTATCCACCCCATGTCTTGTTCTATCCACCAATAGAAAAATATATATATTATTTTTGTTTATGCAATAGATTATTAAACATAATCTACATTTCAGTGTTGAGTGTTGAAATCCACCACAAACACAAATAAACACCCTGACCCATCTTCAAAACCCCCCTCCTCTCTCTTCTTCAATCAAATCATCTCTCAGGGTCTCACGGTCTCACCCACAAAGCCAACTGCTTCTTCCAGAGTTCCAACAATGGCATCTGCTTTACAGGTTATTTTTTCTGCCATACTTTCCTTTCTTTAAACTTATTCTTCTTCCCCAAAGAAAAACACAAACCTGTTAAAACCCTCAACCAGTTCGCCTTCCACAAATTTATTCTTCTCCCCCAAACACCAACACAAACCCTTTAAAATCTCAACCAGTTCGCCGTCCGACGAGGAGGAGAAGTATTAGCAGAAAAGCTGAAAACGTCGAAGATCTGAGGAAAAAAAGCTGAAAATTTCATCCATCGCAGAACTGAGGAAGGAGAAGAACTGAAGAAGAGAAGATACCGTGTAATTTTGAATTAAACCCCCTAAAACGACGTCGTTTTGGGGTGAGCAATAGGCTTTTTTTTTTTTTTTTTTTTTTCAATAATACGCGAATAATTCGCGAATTATACGCGATAATTCGCGAATTATACGGTATTCATATTATACGCGTATAATTCGGTAATTTTTATAACATACGTTAAAACACGTTTTATACGCGATTATACGGCTGGGCGTATAATTCGCGTATAAAACCGTATTTACTAACAGGCAGTGTGTTCATCTGGTTGCAAAAACTCCCCTTGCTGTCCCCTAAATTCCTTCCTTTACCTCTAACACCCCTTACAGAAACACACACTTTCACACAAAACCCAACCAAAAGCTCTTAGAGAATGCAAAATACGAGGGGCCGTGAAGCGCAAGGACCTAGCCAGAGCTCTCAGGTTCTAAAATCCGTTGAACAAAACAACCAACAACCCAGTTGAGCTCTCGACGGTCCTTCATTGACCGAATCGAACCAGCCTCGGGTCCCTGAGTTTGGATTGTTTGATGGGTCAGAGAGACTGGGAGGTCCTGGACACGTTCTCAATGCTGATGATTTGAGGCTTGTGGCTAGTGCTTAACTGTTATACTTTCTGAAGAAGAAGTTCTTGCCTAATTTGGAAAGTACAGCAGCATTGGTATTTTTTTTATTGATAATGAGTACCCTTTTAATTTTATGTGGGAATTATTGCAAAGATCATTCATTTATTTTACCAAATGCTATAATGCTCACTTGAAGACTTTTTTTTTCATAAATAATGGCTTTTATAGCTTTTCCGTGATTTCTTTTTTACAGTTATGGAGGACTAGAGAGTTACACCAACTGTACTGAAGTCTGCAACTGGCTTAGAAGGTGCTTGTACAGTGAATTTATCTTATTGTTGGCTTTTGATAATTGGTTGTCTTATTTTCTCGAAAAGTTTGATTTGAAATTTATTTGTATCTAAGACTTCTTGTTGAATATATTATTGTTATTTTGTAAATATTATTGTTTGCTCATTATCTATCAGCATAGTTTGGGCAACTGATTGCTTAACAAATATGAAATTCCACTTGTAGGCATTCTTTGGTTTTCTTATCTTTTTCTTTTATAATTCAGTTACTAAGCTTTCTCCAAAGAAGTGGGGTGTTTCTGGAAGCTCAAGTGTTGTATTGGTTGCTTTTCTGGGTGGAACATCGTATCTTCTTTCTCGAGGGATTGATATCCGACCCAACCTTGCAGTCATACTGGCACTTGCCTTTATAGACTCTGCCTTCCTTGGTGGTATCTGTTTGGCTCAAATCTCGAGTTATTGGCCCCCATATAAGCGTCGGATTCTGGTTCATGAAGCAGGGCATCTTTTAGTAGGTATGTGCTAAGTTTGTTATTTGGTTTAAATTTTAAAGAGTTACTCATAGGAAAAGAAAGAAAAATATTAAGAGTAGGAGGATACAGCATTGTAGTATGAGCTGTTGCCTTTTGATTGTTGCTATATCTTCTAGAAGTTGGCAAGGAACCTTTGTCAAACCATGTTTGCACAGTTTAGTTTTTGTTCAAAACCCGCCTAATAAAAAGGATCAGTGCAGACAGAAAATAAAAAACTAATGTAATGGGTATCCTTTGGGTCATTAATTTAAAGAAGATAACTATTTGATTTTTTTATAATGTCATATGATGTATGTGTGTTTCTCTCAACAGTAAATTTAGTATATAATTCTTAATCGTCCGTAGCCATAGTTGGTATGGTTCAGTTTTGTCAATTTATTACTCATACAAACCTGAGCTGGAATATAACAGTTTGTTCATCATAATCAGAAATTCAGAATAAATTATACTGATCATTTTCCATTTGCTTCTCAATTTTGTTGAATAGCTTGCACATGCCTACTTAGTGAGCTATGTATGCATATTTATTAAACCAGCCTGTCAGTTAATATTTAAAAACAGTGAACAAAAAATATAAGAAGGCTGAATTATTTTTCTATATTGATGTATAGCTATTTAAAGAGCTTAACTAGGAACAAAAAAAGGCAGCTAATCTCCCTAATTAAGAAGAAATATACTAGTCAACTTACTACCCTAATATAGAAGAAAATAAATATTGATTCCTAAGATTACTAATACAGCTCATAAACTTCTAAACTAACTAAATATAGAGTATAACAAATATGGTACATAATCACAATTATTTACGAGATCTTTCAACAATATTCTTGCAGACTACACGTGTTTCTTCAAAGGGCTGTTATTTGCTATTAACACAGACAGGTGCTTTGACATGCTAACATGGCTTCATTTTCTTGAGATTTTGTGTTGGGCTTCTTTTCTCCACTTTGACTCATAATTCATGTCGATGTACAGAAATAGAAGAAATTACCTATGTCTATATTATAGTCTTGCTATGGTGTAAATTTTCTTTTACCAAAAATTTTGTTCTTACAAGCCTAAATAACTAATTATTAATTTATTTTGCAGCATATCTTATGGGTTGCCCAATTCGTGGGGTGATTTTAGACCCAATTGTTGCAATGCAAATGGGTATTCAAGGGCAGGTACTTTGTTCTCACCTATGGTCTTCATGGTTCTTGTCCTGCTTCCATTTTTTATTTTCTCTAATGTATATTTATTGTGCGTTTATATGCTTTCTCGTCAACAATGGGTATAATTTTGATAAGAGGTGGCAGACTAAGAGAAGTTTAGTGTCATGAATGGGTCTTTAAAACTTTTTTAGTGTTTCTCCAAACAACTTTATCATTATTAAGATGGAAATTAGAACTCATATTCACTAACAGGCTGGAACTCAATTTTGGGATGAAAAAATGAATGACGAGCTTGCAGAAGGACAACTCAGTGGCACTGCCTTTGACAGGTAGTTATGACATGAACTCTTCTTGGAGTTTGCTTGATATGAGTAGTTTTGTTTTTGCCTATTGCCAAAAGAATATGTCTTCTTATGACATGTTAATCAAAACATAATTCTTGAATCTTTCCTAAACCGTTAATTTTTCTGTGATATGTTCATTTCTGTCAATCTTTTCATCAATGTGGTACCATGATGTGCGTATTGAACTTTCTTATTGTTCTGGAAGTTACCATTACACCAATGAATTCGAAACATTCCAGTGGCCTTCAATTTGTATTTGGAAGCCTGCTTGATGGTAGGTGGTGGGCAGGTCCTTTAGCATCATCGTGTATCTGGAATGATTTTGTACTTTCATATTATTGATGCCTTGAATGGTTATTATTCATGACACCTGGCAGGTACTGCATGGTACTTTTTGCTGGTATTGCAGCTGAAGCTCTTGTTTATGGTGAGGCTGAGGGTGGAGAGAATGATGAAAATCTGTTTAGAAGCATCTGTGTTCTTTTGAGACCTCCATTATCTGTAGCCCAGGTATCTCTTCAACTGTTATGTTGTTCAATGTTATACTAGCGTTCGTAACAACTGAAACTTTTTCTCTTTATTCTATCATCTTGACCAGATGTCTAATCAGGCGAGATGGTCAGTTCTACAGTCATACAATCTGCTTAAATGGCATAGACATGCTCATCTAGCTGCTGTTAAAGCTCTGGAAAGTGGCAGCAGTCTTAGTGCTGTTATTAAAAGCATTGAGGAAGCCATGTCCTCCAAAGTATGAACTGCACAAGTTACAAGAATCCTGGTTTCTTGGTTTTGATTTCTTAAGGGTTAAAGCTCTTCGTTTGGTTGGTGCTGATCCTGAAACTAAATCTGAACGTGTATTACTACCGTGTACTCGTGTGATTTTGATAATGACATGATACACCAGGAGCATACATGGCCTGAAGTACAGCATCACCTTCAAGCTATACAATAACCACCGTAAGTTCATGACTTGAACTGTCGGGGATGGTCAATCACAGTTTGGACGGTAAAAGGATGTAATGGAGGTATGGTCGAGTATTGCTTGTTATGGTGCTCAAAGTTCGCTGCAGACAGATGGTTGACAATGTTTGAAACCTCAAATTGTATTTTCAACTTCTTAATTTTGGTCCAAGGTTGTTTGTTGTATTTAGATAAATACATAATTGATTGTAGATAAAAAAAACAAGGATCCTCTTGATTATCAAAATTAATGTATATAATTCACTGTGAATTTATTGAAGATTAATTCTAATTTTGGTCCACGGTTGTTTGTTCCTTGGAGACTTCTTTCTTGTTTCGGCAGGGCACCGAGTCCCTCTTCCAATTCATCATTAATAGACGTTCATGAAGCCAATATTCATGCATCATCCACTTGCAGTTTTCTTCTTAGATTCTTATTGGTACAATTGTATCCAATGGATTGTCTTCTGTCAACTGCTGTACACATTTTTTCTTGTTCAGCTAGCTCTCCATGTTCTTCATCGTTTGATTGTAAATATATATAATGGGGAAGTATTTCTTCATGGTTTGGATCAAAAGGAAAAACACGATATATATATATATCGTGTTTTTCCTTTTGATCCAAACCATGAGGCCGATATTCCTTCATCACCCATTTTCCCTTTTCTTCAGTCTTCTTGGGGATAAACGTAAGACTCCGTTTGTATCCAATGTGTTGTCTTCTGTCACCACCGTTGTACAAATCTTCATCACCCTGAGTTCTCCATTTTCCGCCTCCTGTAGCACGTTCAACTCTGGAACTTTTCTCCGATTTCTTTCTAAGCTTTGTGAAAAAGTAAAGAGTAGTCTCTGTTGTGGCTTCAAAGAACTTCTCCCACGCATCAGTTTCATCGTAGAGATCGCACTCAATCACAGCAGATGATGAAACGAGCGGGAAGCCATGAGTTTTGTTATAAAGATAATGGAGAATGATTTCTTCATCAGTTGGATCAAAACGATAACACAGTGGAATCTCCATTATTATTAAACTAAAAGATAGAAGGTAGTAAATTAGTGAAGAGAAAGAGAAAGGGGGAGAGATTTGAATATTATATATATATATATAATATATATATAAAATATTATATACATCACTCTTTCATTATATTATAATATATGTGATAACTACACAAATTTATTATAATATTAAAAATTATAAATAATTAAAAATTTGGTGATTGTGTCATATGTCACATTATGATATACTCGGTAAATATATATATATATATATATATATAGGGAGAGAGAGTAGCATGAACAGTAGGTAATCCTACATTCCTACTGTTTCTTTGTTTCCTTAATTGGTTTAGGTTTTATCGCCTCAGTTTCCTTATTTCTATCAAATTAAACTAGTAAAACAATTTTAATTACCTAGGGCTATTATTACATAAATACTTGTATATGTTATTAGTTTTAATAGGATGTTTATTTTATTTATGTAACTTGATATATTGGAGTAAATTAAATTAATTAATTAGTTTAGCTGCAACACATCTTCCAGCAATTGCAGATATATTTGGAGCAATATATCCCATTCTCTTTTCTAGGAAGTCAAGGACCTTCTTCTTGGCTGAATCAAGACGATCACATGCATCAATTGTAGTTTCGAGGACCTCTTCCGGGAGTGGATTACCACCTTACTTTTTGCGTGAAATTAAATTAATTAAATTTTCAAGTCATGCTAGAGTGATCTCTTTTTAATTAAAATCATATACATAATTCAATTAATTTAATATATGGTCAAATGAATTGGAATCTACAAACGAATATACGAACAAAATTTACACACACATATATATTTCATCTATATATACTTACGCATACATATTGTTGATATAGAATTTTGCATCAACCAGCGAGCTCTGATCGACCTTGTCAGAATCGAAACTAACGTGTGCATGATTAATGATAATCAGCGATGAGTGCTTATAAAATGCAATAAAAGAAAGACAACGAGATTCTTAAAATAGTTCGGCGAGGTTAACAGCCTATGTCCATTGATTTTTCTTATCCGCTATGTGAACTAATAGTGCTATTTCTATTAAAATTTTGTAACCCCTCCCTCACCGTTTGAGGGGGCTTATATACAATATTTGTGCAAAAGAAAGAGCGAAATGAAGGGGATTACAATTGATTTGAATCATAATCCCAATGTCCTCGTGATTATGCGCTGTGATTGTGCAGTGATAACTGTTGATTTTGTCATTCCCGTAATATCTGGGATCTGAAGTAATTCGGAGATTGATTGAATGATTACTCAAATTGTTCGTGACTAGCTTATGCTGAGTCGAGCTACGGCTCGACGAGCTTATGTTAGGTCGCTCAGTCATCGTTGCCGAGCTGGTTCTAGGTTGATCTATATCTTCGCAATAGCCCGAGCTTAGCGGAAAAAATCACACACAACATCTGCCCTCTAGTGTTCGATGCTCGTCTCGGGCTTCGAAGACTATTGCTCGATTTGGTGTCAAGCTCGGCCTTACCAGCAAGTGTCCGAGTGGATGCTCGATTGAGCCTTCTGGGTCGACCTTACATCCAGTCGACGTGCTTCACACTTGGATATTTGTTTTTCATGTTTCCTGTCAAAAGACTCAAAACTCAGAATATGAAAAGTTAGGGCATACATATAATTTCCACGGGGTCGTGTCGCATTAAATGTGACAGCCTTTGTCAGTCATGTTTCACCGCGCATGGGCGACGACAGTTGTTCATGCATAAAGTCGAGGCAACGAGCGGCGACGGTTATTGTGATAGCAATTTGATGGTTCGTCGCTCCTCACGGATGGTTGACACGTGGCTATATGAGATTGCTCGATGAATGAAGGGTTATGATCAATTATTGGCCGACAGTCATGATTGAATCCCCTCCTTTTGTCTTCCATGCAAATCATTATAAAAGGTGGTAAAAAACCTCAGAATAGTTACTCCGAGATTTTTCTAACTTCCTTGCTCTTCTTAGCCGTTATTCCTTCATCGTTACATCGGTTTTCCAGTGAGTCTTCTGCACTTCTGTCCCAGTAAGTCCCTTCTCCCCTTTATCATTCGTTCTTTATGAGTTTTGTGTCAAAGGTGGTCATGGCAGTGGCCATATTGTGTGTTTTAGGGTTTCAATAGGGTTTTTGGGTGTTTCTCCAGCGACCTCGGGTTTTATAGGGGTTTAACTGTGGTTGCCGATGCCCCGGGTAGGTCACGCTCCTCTGACGTGCTGCGTGAGCTACCTTGGGTGCCTGAAATATAAACGAGTGTGGAATGGTTGCCGACTTTTTTGAGCTTTGGCACATGTTCGCTTATTTTTCCAGGTACCAGAAGGAGCTTTACCATCAGCAATGGTAAACTATCCCAAATCGATGTCAACGCACGTCAGAACACAATCCTCTCTTAATTTCCATCGAAGTTCTGATTCGTAAAAGGATCCAGAAGGTTTTCTGATGTAAGTGTGCTTTTAGTGTACTGCTAATTTAATTTTCTTTAAAGTTCTCCTAATTTTAGATTTGGTCGAGCTGTTTCAAATGTTTTTACTTATGAAGTATTATGTCTCGTGTTTTTTTCAGGTCTCGTGCCATGAATTTAAAGGATTCTACGCTTAAACGTAGAAGAAGAAGTTCAGTATCAGGGGAATCCCATCGAGATGCATATTCTGGTGCTACAGTGAATGTATCTGTGAGCATTGAAAAATTACCTGGAAATATTGATGGCAATATTCTAGTCAAAAGCTTCCGTTACCTGTACCACATCCTTTACTCAAAGGGGACTTTCTCGAATTATATTCTTCCCATTATGTGTGTTATTGGGATTTCAATCGATCCTTTCTTCTTGTTTATTCCTTTTGTCGATGATACTAAAAAGTGCGTTGGATTGGACAAAAGATTGGGGTTTACAGCTGGTATTCTCCGTTCTTTGTTTGATCTCTTTTATTTACTCTATATTGCTCGTCGAACGCGTAGGAGATTTTTGCTGCACCTCTTTTCCATTGATCTTCTTGCGATTCTTCCCCTTCCCCAGGTGAGGGAGAATGCTTTCACTATTTACAATGAAATGAAAAGAATTGGGAAAGAAAGGTTTATTTTTTTCGCAAATCATATGTGGAGAAACTGATAAAATAAGAAATTTAATGGTATTTATCTCGTTTATTTTTTTAGCAAATCATATGCGGAGAAACTGATAAAATAAGAAATTTAATGGTATTTATCTCTAGTTGAGTTATTAGCAGCTTGTAGAACGCCTAAAATTTACTACTGTAGTCATATGTTTAACTTGCAGAGTGGATTGCAACATAGTTTATCTCCTCTTATAATCATATTTCTATTTTCTTTCCTATTACTCTTATAAATTGTGCTATATATTTCAAGTAGTTATAATCATAGAGATGAATAACTTTGTTTATATCAACATTGCCTTACATATATAATTAATATAACTTATGACTCTGACATTCATTGTGCTATATATTTCAAGTAGTTATGATCATAGAGATGAGTAACTTTGTTTATATCAACATTGCCTTACATATATAATTAATATGACTTTGACTCTGACATTCATTGTGCTTTATCCAGGTGGTGATTTCGATAGTCATTCAAGCAAAGGAAGGCTCCGAACTTTTGTATACAATTCGGTTGTTGAAGCTTTGTGTCATTTTCCAACTTGTGCCAAGGTTTATTGCAATCTATGAATTAGTTGCAGACAAATTCGACAGGGCTACATGGGCCAGAGCGACATTCAATCTTTTCCTTTTCATTCTTGCAGGCCATGTAAGTTAAATTACTGTATATATATTGATTTACATGGTTCAATTTTATTTTTTTTATTTTTTACCTTATGTCATACATTAGGCTTCACTGAGAGCAAAACTCAATGCACTACTTAAACATTTGATCATTTTTTTCTTTGATAGTGATATATGCTGCAATATGTACATACTTACAGTAGTATCCTTGTATATTTTATGTCATTGGACATAAAATTATTTCTCAATTTGCATATCTGTTTGATCAACTAGTGTCTTGCTGGTCTTCTAGGTATTTGGATCTTTCTGGTACTTTTTTGCTATAGAAAGAGAAATCGAATGCTGGAAGGAAGCTTGCCTAAGTCAAACTGGATGTGGTCAGGGTTCTTTTTACTGTAGTGACATTTTAGGAGACTACAGATTTCTTAATGGATTTTGCCCCACAAAGACGCGGGATACAACGATCTATGATTTTGGAATATTTTATGATGCTCTTCAATCTGGCGTAGTGGAGGCAACAGATTTTCCACAGAAGTTCTTACATTGTTTTCTGTGGGGTCTGAAAACTCTCAGGTTGGTGCATATAATATACTTCTCTTGCGGGTGGGAAGGCAGTTGGGGGATGTGGTTAGTCTATGAGAAACGCTACATTTGCATATTCAACTGTTTTGCATAACTTTTTATCTCATTCTAAGTTGCCATTAATGCACTCTTATCAAACCATGCAAATGATACCAATAAAAGTGGTTGTAGTTTAGGCATTTGATTTTACTATCCATTGCATATATATTAATGCAATTCTCCGTGCACTTCCTATATGCCTCGTGGATGTTTCTTAGTGCTGCTAGATAGACACGACTATCACCCATTGTTCATTTTTAGTTAAGTCATTAGTACTCATTGGTATAGACTTCTTTTGACCATGCTTGTCAAATCCTAGGTCCAACCAAGTAGATATCGTCTGCTTTGGGCTAAGCCCGTACAGATTTACTTTTGGGATTTATGCAAGCATTAGTCACCCAAAATGCGTCTACTTACTTAAGAGGACCAAAGTCTTATACATTGAATCCCAGGCTCATTTGCAAGCAAATGTTGGATGTGACAATGCCACCATTGTAGATTATGCAACTAAGTTTAAGTTTTAGCTTATATGACACTCTGTAGAGGTGTTATGGTAAGTAGTGTGCAAAGCTTAATGTTTTTATAAAGCTTAAATTTCTTGTCTTCTTATCTTGGCATGGTAAAGTTTTCGTTCTGCTTCATTTGTTTTCAGTTATTTCATGAAATCGAGTAATATTTTCCATACATATCGAATTGCATTGTCTATCCCTAATTGCTTTATTACTTCTGAAAACATGGAAGTTACAAGTTTCAAGATCAACGTTTGATATACAACAATTGAATTTAATTTGTTGCAGTTCTTTTGGTCGTAACCTGCAATTAAGTGGCAATGGCTTGGAAAGCTTCTTTGCGACTTTGTTGATCCTTGATGCTTTGGTGTTGTTTTTCCTTTTCATTGGAAATATTAAGGTTTGTATTTATAGGGTCAATTTTTCTGTCTTCTAAGATTTCTATCATTTCTTGCTTCCTTATCTAAATCTATCAATCTTGATCTATATCAACAGTATCCTCACCTATATCTCTTGATTTATTTTTATATGATTAAGATGAAGCACAATATAATTTTTAATTTCTGTGAGCTGCTTCTTGTGAAACAGGTGTATCTGCAATCTTAANTTTTTCTTTGATAGTGATATATGCTGCAATATGTACATACTTACAGTAGTATCCTTGTATATTTTATGTCATTGGACATAAAATTATTTCTCAATTTGCATATCTGTTTGATCAACTAGTGTCTTGCTGGTCTTTTAGGTATTTGGATCTTTCTGGTATTTTTTTGCTATAGAAAGAGAAATCGAATGCTGGAAGGAAGCTTGCCTAAGTCAAACTGGATGTGGTCAGGGTTCTTTTTACTGTTGTGACATTTTAGGAGACTACAGATTTCTTAATGGATTTTGCCCCACAAAGACACGGGATACAACGATCTATGATTTTGGAATATTTTATGATGCTCTTCAATCTGGCGTAGTGGAGGCAACAGATTTTCCACAGAAGTTCTTACATTGTTTTCTGTGGGGTCTGAAAACTCTCAGGTTGGTGCATATAATATACTTCTCTTGCGGGTGGGAAGGCAGTTGGGGGATGTGGTTAGTCTATGAGAAACGCTACATTTGCATATTCAACTGTTTTGCATAACTTTTTATCTCATTCTAAGTTGCCATTAATGCACTCTTATCAAACCATGCAAATGATACCAATAAAAGTGGTTGTAGTTTAGGCATTTGATTTTACTATCCATTGCATATATATTAATGCAATTCTCCGTGCACTTCCTATATGCCTCGTGGATGTTTCTTAGTGCTGCTAGATAGACACGACTATCACCCATTGTTCATTTTTAGTTAAGTCATTAGTACTCATTGGTATAGACTTCTTTTGACCATGCTTGTCAAATCCTAGGTCCAACCAAGTAGATATCGTCTGCTTTGGGCTAAGCCCGTACAGATTTACTTTTGGGATTTATGCAAGCATTAGTCACCCAAAATGCGTCTACTTACTTAAGAGGACCAAAGTCTTATACATTGAATCCCAGGCTCATTTGCAAGCAAATGTTGGATGTGACAATGCCACCATTGTAGATTATGCAACTAAGTTTAAGTTTTAGCTTATATGACACTCTGTAGAGGTGTTATGGTAAGTAGTGTGCAAAGCTTAATGTTTTTATAAAGCTTAAATTTCTTGTCTTCTTATCTTGGCATGGTAAAGTTTTCGTTCTGCTTCATTTGTTTTCAGTTATTTCATGAAATCGAGTAATATTTTCCATACATATCGAATTGCATTGTCTATCCCTAATTGCTTTATTACTTCTGAAAACATGGAAGTTACAAGTTTCAAGATCAACGTTTGATATACAACAATTGAATTTAATTTGTTGCAGTTCTTTTGGTCGTAACCTGCAATTAAGTGGCAATGGCTTGGAAAGCTTCTTTGCGACTTTGTTGATCCTTGATGCTTTGGTGTTGTTTTTCCTTTTCATTGGAAATATTAAGGTTTGTATTTATAGGGTCAATTTTTCTGTCTTCTAAGATTTCTATCATTTCTTGCTTCCTTATCTAAATCTATCAATCTTGATCTATATCAACAGTATCCTCACCTATATCTCTTGATTTATTTTTATATGATTAAGATGAAGCACAATATAATTTTTAATTTCTGTGAGCTGCTTCTTGTGAAACAGGTGTATCTGCAATCTTAAGTTGTAAGATCTGAAACTTTAAGATCACTGAAAGTGCAAGAATTAGAGAAGCAAATGTCCTTCGAAAAGCACTCTAAAGATATCCAAAAACAGTCTAAAACTGAAAGCTCAGAGGGGGTGACATTGGAGGAGGAAAGACAGAAGCAAAAAGAGGAGCAAGTAGAGCCAAAAAGGCATCTGCAATCTGAAGTTGTAAGATCTGAAACTTTAAGATCACCGAAGGTGCAAGAATCACAGAGGCGAAGGTCCCCTTCGAAAAGCGGTCTAAAACTGAAAGGTCAGATTGGGTGACATTTGTTGAGCAAAGACAGAAGCAAGTAGAGCCAATAATACCTAAAAGAGGGCTAGTAAAGGCGAAAATAATGGGTGGCCTGGGACATTTGATAAAGTCCCTTGGGAAAGATAAAATGTAAGAGACATTGGTTGTAAAGATATCAATTGGAGAAAAAGAATGAGGATAATCACTCCTAATTATCGTATATAATTAATTCATTGTGTTTTATATTCTTACTTCTCAGGACTTATTGTGGCATTCTGATCAATTCCAAGCTATTATAAACACTGTTTTAAAAATGGGACTGGCCGGCCCAACCGGTTGGATCAGGAACCGGTCACGTGTCCGGTCCAAGTCAACACTAAGCCCGCCATTATATAATAACTCACTTTAACCCATTTGAAAACCGGATAAAATCAGTGAACTGCTGTTTCGGATAAATTGGTCGAAATTTTCCCTACGCAATCGCAGCCCATTCCATTCTGATTTCCTTTCTCTGTTTCTCAGCTTCTTCTCTACGAAAATTTCTCTCTGAAATCTCACTCAAATCGCAATCAACTCCACTCCTTGAAGTCTAAAATCGCAACCATTCACCAAATCGCAACTGAACTCTTTGAAATCGACGAAGATGTCTTCCTCCCTCGCCAGAAATCGACGACAACAACTCTGTTCCTCGCTGAAAATCGACGGCGATAGTTCCATTCCTCGATCCAGGTAATAAACACACTATTCCTCGATCCAGTTTCAATAATGATTTTGTTGCAAACTTTATCAGGAGCAATGTTTTTTGTGGATTCATTGTTTTTATTTTGCATAATCTGTGATATTTTTGATACTTTAAAGCTTTCTTAAAAAAGTACACATTGTCTGTTTAAACGTATTTGTTTCCTTTGGGACATCTTCAATAATTTTTGCCTCAATTCTTTAGGGTATCTTTTTAAGCTGAAGCTATTCTATCGTTTTGAGTGCAATAATACGGAAATAAAGGCTCTCTTTAATCCTCAGGAGTAATGTGTTGTAAGCTGCTATGTCTTAACTATATTTTTATGAAATGAGGAAGACAGAATGGTTCCCGAATGAAAAATGAGATATATCTCACGCTGATTTTGAATTAAGGCATATTGCATATGATTGTGCTCCTGAGTTCTGACTTATTTTTAATCGTCTGGTGTGTTGATTAGTATTATCTACATCCTTGTCAAATATATATATATATATGCTAATTATAGGACTTAATGGAATGTTTCAAAAATTAAAATTAATATATATTTATGATTTACAGGATACTGTTTAGGGTTGAGTTGGGCAATTGTTTAAACAATCAAATATTACATTCAACTTAGTGAATGGTGTATAAAAACATTTTTTTTCTTCTCTTCTTGCAATTGTGTGTGCGTGTGTGAGTGATAAAATAAAGAAAAGAAAAGAGAAAGGAAAAAAAAGAATGGTCCATTAAGAGATGATTTAATCGATGGTTGAAAAGATTGGTTTCAAATATTTAAGCAACTTAAGATCTATTTTAAATTAAATTACAAGTTTTAACTTATGATTTCTATTTTTTACTAAAATTTATGTAGATGATGGTGATGGTTATGATGATGATGATGGTGATGAATTTTGATCCTAGTGTGTGAAGCTCAATCAACATGGAGACGGATCAAAGAAAAAACACTTGCACCAAATGTTTTGTTATTAATTATTATGTATTTTGTCGTTTAATATGTAATAGATGAACACAATATCATGTTTTAGATTTGGACTTTAGATTGTTGTTAAATACTTAAATTATGTTGGGATTGTTATTGAATTTGAACTTTGAATCATGTTGGATAGTAATTAAGTTGTTATTGTCTTATTAAAACAATGAAAATCCTTTTAAAAAAAAAAAAAGATTTTTTATGTGCTGACGTCATCATGTTGATGTCATGACATCACTGGTCCAACCGGCGGTCCAACCGGTTGGACTGGTTTACTCGTGAACTGGAGAGCATAACGGGTTGCCCTTCGGTCTGGGTTTTAAAACAATGATTATAAACTGTGTTTTATATTCATATATCCATGTTATTTAAAATCAAGAGCTATTGATCTCAAATTGTAGGATTTTCAAAACTTATCCTAGTTTAAATACATGTAATTTTATGTGGTTTTAAATATTTACTATAAGCATATAAAAATTAAATAATATTACATTTATAAACTTTTTTATACAAATTCTCTCATATAAACTGATGTGACAACCTTACATGTTTATTATGTAATTTCTTGTAATTATTTAATTTAAAATCATATAATTATCTATTGTTGCAGTAGTTTGTTTAAAAAGTTTATAAATGTAGTATTACTCATCAAAATTTATATGTAAACCTTCTTTAAAATTTGTTGGAAATTAGGAAATTTTCATTTAATTGGTCTTCTAATTATTATAATTGAAAGTAGTTTTATATAATCTAATAGTTTCAATTAACTAATATGTTATGGTATAAAGTATTTTTATATCACATATCAATGACGAATAAAAGAATTAATCATTTATTATTTGGAGTGTTTAACATCTTTAATGGAGAACTTTATGCAACTTATATAAAAAGAGAAAAAAAGAAATTGTTCAAACTTGACCCACCTGCATGAAAAACCCGACCCATTTAAGTTTCGGATAAACCTCTCAAAACCCCCCAGAAAAACCACACCTGCTTTAACAGCTAACGCAGCGAAACATTTCTCCAAATTCTCAAATGTTCTAACCAAACATGGACCTCTCAATCCCATTCAAACCTAACCCACTTCTTTCCTCCTCAAAGCCACTCACATAAACCCTCTTTTTTTCAAAACCCTCAACTCACAGGCCCAGAATTTGCCGCCAAAATCCCTTTTTTAGAGTTTATTCCTCTGCAAATCCAAATGGGTCAGATGCGTGTTCTTGGCCGAGTATTGCTCGGTCTATTAGGGTCGTGTCGCAGAGGCTTTGGTGCAACTTTGACCAGTCAGTCAAGAAGGAAACTGGGTCGACTTTGAGGAGGCTAATGTGACGGTGGGTGAGTTGATGGGGCGAGTTAAGAATGGAGTGAAGAAGGGTGAGGCTGAGTTCACTCGGTTCAGGACTGTTTTGGCGCCTGAATGTGGATTGGAATCGCTGGGAGAGTTGGAAGGTAATTTTTTTTGTATTGTAATTGCTACACATTTGCTTAAATTTGCGTTTGGTTGCTGAGAAAGTTTTGGGGGACGTGTAGAATTGAAGAGAAAAAATAACATTTTTTTAACTGTTCTATTAGCTCTTGTATTGATTAGTAGAACATTGGTAAATTTGTTGATTTTGATTGAGACCGTTTTGCTTAATTTTGTGTTTGGTTGCTGAGAAAGTGCGGGGAAAATGTAGATTTAGAAAAAAGTTTGATATCTGTAATTGTTCTGTTTGTTTTATTTGCTACTTGGATTTATAAGACATTATTATAATTATTTACTGTATGCAGGATGTCAAGAATTGGGAGCCTAAAGGATTTGTACATTAATTCTTTATGTTTCTGTTGTGATTGTTTCCTGTCAAAGAATATATAGCTATTCGCGCACATTACCTTGATCGTCAAAGAAAAGAGGTAACAGAGGCTTAAATCGTGGCGTTGATTCCTGAGCCTTCCACTAGTAATATCAGAAAGTAAGTGATCATTGATTGCAGTTGCATCCAATTGAGGTTATGAATGAGTCATGTTTTGGCAGTCGATTCAAGTCTTTGAGAATTAAATTCTGCTCTGTTCTTGTAGATTTAAGAAGGGTATGTGGAGGAAGACAACACCTGAAGGTCTGAAATTGAAGAAGTATATTGAAGGGCCTGATGGGACATTAATTCATGATAGATCTTATGTTGGAGAAGATGCTTGGATTGATGACCCACAGCCTTCACAGGAAAATGGGGAAAAGGTTATTGACAGCAATGAAAGAATGAGTGCAGAAGAAACGGAAAAGTTAATTGAAGACTTGAGCATTTCAGGTTAGTTTATTTTTGACAGCCTGAACGTATGTAAAAATGATGCTTCCTATGTCTTGACATTAAGTTATATAATCATTTTTCTGGTCTCATTATATGTTTTATTTCATGCATTTATTGTGGTTCTGGTTGCTAATTTAGCACTGGAAATACTATGGTTCAAACAAACTTCTTACTGATTTTGATTTTCTGGCAGTTTCGAATGTAATCTGAAATATGATAACTACACAGGAAAATGCTTTGTAGATAAAAAATTTATGGTGGATCAGACAGTACATAGAATTTGCATTATTTGTAGTTAATGGTAAATCTGCCCTCAGAAAAGGCAGACATTACTTTAATTAATGTATGATTATTATATTCATATTAAAATTGTGAGTCAATTTTAAATCTTCCTCCCAAAAGATAGACATTACTCTTGATTCCTAATATTAATTTTTTTTTTTTTATGTGTGTGTGTTATATACTTGTGTAGAAGGTGAGATCAAGTGAATAAAGGTACTTGGCATGAAAGACTTCGTGCTTGGAAGGAGATCATGGAAAAGGAAAAGTTATCTGAAGAGGTAGATTCCTTAAATGCCAGATATGTAGTCGAATTCGATAGGAAAGAGGTTGAAAAAGGTTTTCACAAGGATATGGTGGAGAAGGTGATAGAAACACAGGGAACCAAGGCTCTATGGATAGCTAAGAGATGGCAGCGCTATTGTCCTAAACTTCCTTACACTTATTTTCTTGACAAGCTAGATAGCTCTGAGGTAAATTTTTGTTGTCCTTTGTTTTCTTTTCTCACCCCATGCAGCTAACTTGATAAGTGCCTGCAGTTCTGTATTGCATGGATTTTGGGGTTTCAATTATTTAGTTGTGATATTTTTAAACAAAATTGGATTCATCAAATCATTTTATAAAGGTTAAATTACCTTATGCAGTTTCATGAATTCTTTCAACATGTTGCTGCTATTGTCTTTACAGATCACCT